TTTATTTCCATGCAACTCTCTGATTGGTCTGGTGTCATGCCTCTGTTGCATTCACTGAACACGGGAAATTACAGTGCTGCCGTCCTCTCTTGTGTCATGATGAGGTTCACGTAAAGCACGGTTAATGTATTATATTATTGAGGGAGAATTGTCCGGGGCTACAGAAAAAACATTCGGGGCTAAAGCCCCGGATGCCCAGGCCAGGCGACGCCACTGGCAGTATGTATAGCCTTAAAAACAACCCACTCTGCGGTAACGAGAGTCATGTATCTGAACCAAATGCCCTAAGTGAAGCCGTTAGTCTCATCTGACTGACCCAAGGGTTGGTGCTGGTGTGACAGGGAGGCTTCCAAGTGTTTATAGCAGATGTCATGCTTTCAGTTCATGGTTCGGTGGGGGGGAGCAGACCCATGTGAGACAGTATCAACGGCTGTAATGTTCAGTTTGAGGAGTGTCATTCTCTCTGGGAGCAGGAAATGGTGTCCATTCAGACCAGACCATTAATGTCATGTAGAGCAGAGCAGCCATAGCATCTCTGTGACTGCACTCAGCCGGACTGCAGCAGGGCAGAACTGGGTGACTTTTAGTGAAGCCGTCCAAGGCCATAGACAAAATGGAACCACGTACTAACAAAAGGGACACAAGGTCATCAATGTCTCTCTTTACCTTTAGCCTAATTGTAAAACAAATTAGTGGAAGAAATGTGGAACACTAATCCATCATCATGTGAAATTTAGAGTTAATTTAAATAATTACTTATGGGTTGAAGTCAAATTAACATTAACATTAGAACTAAAGTCAGTCAAAATTGGACTTGCACGGATCAGAATCTAATCAATACACCATTTCCCCAGCTCTGTAATGAAAAGGATATCAAGATTAGGTACATTACAGGAGTGTTAAAACATCCAAACATGCACACTTATCTTATTCTAGTAGAGATTAGAGGACAGGTCTAATGTTGTGAACAAAATGATCAAGTCAAGTTATTTTATTTATTTTTATCTTATGTACCACATTTAATTTAATAATTAATCTTAAATTACTAATAACTTTAAAGAAGGCAACAATTTACAATGTGGATAAGGTGACTACTTATCCAAAGTGTGTGGGTGTGTGTGGGTGTGTCGAAAGAAGCTGAGATTAGAACATTTTAAATAAATCAAAACACTTGTACATTAATTAAATACATTTGACATTTAGCTTGAGCTGGGTTCAATACTTTCTTTATGGTATTTAAATTGGGCTCAAGTAGAACCTTTACATGGATTTGGCTTGCAACACAAAGTGATACCGATCTCTGTCTGTTATGATTTGAAAGTCTCATGATTTAAAGTGTAGGGCTGTGAAGGAGAGGCCCTTGGAAAACATCTACTTTTTTTAACTGTAATTACTTATTGTAAAGAGATTGCAACATTATACTTTTTAAATAATTGCTCAATTCATTTAACACATTTATTATGCACACTGTAATGAAAACGTCAACAAATATATTGATCCTGGCTTAACCAGCGACCTTTACTCTTTTGTTCATAAGCTCGGTTTCAGAAAACTTGTCAGTAGTTTAACAACTATTAGAATTTTAGTAATGTCTATGGAGACCAATTGTTTGATACGAGAAATCATTTGAAGCAGTTTAATAAAGAATGTTAAACTATATTTAAAACTGTAATTAAACTTCAACTTATATTAATTATCTGATTCCAGTGGCCAGTTGGAACAGACAATCAACAAAGTTTCCATTTTGCAGCAACAGCGCAAAAGGTTTCAACAATAATTTGTATTATGTCTGAGTCAAGTTCTGTCTTATCAGCTTTGTTTCGGAATGTGTTCAATACATTACGTTTTTTTCATTATTACCATACAATACATAGATTTAAGAATAAATGAAACAAATAATACAACATTGACCTAAAACAGCAGACAGATTTTGCCACCCTGACCTCCTCAGGCAGGTCTTTACGACCAGCAGTGGTGCCTCTGAGGGTCTCAGGGTGCAGGACGGGGCATAGGGTTTATAAAAGGTCACAAACATATCTTAACATACCAGCAATACAATTTAAGAATGTATTCTTAAAATAATATAATCTTATTTTCTTCTTACACCTACAGCGCACACCCTGAACAGTGTGCTTCTTGTTTACATTTCCTCTGCACAGGACATAAAAACACTCTTTTGCTATTTATTTTCATTTTGCAGCACATTTATACTACCAGAATTTTGCAAAACACTATATATTATTTATTTTTCTCAAGTCATTTACTTTTGGTGAGTTAACTAAAGCTTAGTTTATTTTACCCTGGCTATGGACTGATTCATTATTAGTTGTTACAAAACATGCACAAGACGGCGGTTAGACAAACCAATATAGACCCCCGATACAAACAATCAGACAAACAAACATGAACTCGTAATAAACACCAGTGCGTCAGCAACAGCTCATCCAGCTCAATTTAGTCCGAATTCAAGAGGTTTCAGAGGGGGTAGGGAATTATCTCTCAGTGGTGTACCTTGACTCGCACTCCCACCCTTGTATACAAGTCTTAGATCGGTGCCTGGCAGCTGTCCAAGAGCAATAACTAGCTTATCCTCTTGCGACCCCACTACTACTGCTCTAGTGGTGCTATGCCCCCCCCGATCAGGAGCGCATAGACTTTTTTTCCGCTACCCTTTCTATCCAAAAACTGCACTGTTAACTGTAGTCCTACTCGACCAGCCTATACACAGGCTATCGTGTTCATCCCAACGATGAAACACAGTTTTGTTCTACACTTGCATGCCACTGCCCACCCGTGATCAATTAGCCTATGATTTTATGTATGCACCCCGGACCGGCACCAGCTCCTCCAGCAATGTAGGGAGCTGTGTCGCATCAGGTAATGCACGCACCTCGCACCTGCCAGCTCGTCGTAAACGGCCACAAGCCACGAGAGTGCTTTTAAACCGTCTCTTTTTTTAATAGAGACGGCGGTGGTGTGAGTTAAAGCTATAGACAAAAGCTGTGATTTTCTCCCTCTTAGTTCACTTCACCAGCCCATGCAGATACGGGGAGGTATTTTGCATCCCTGCGACTGCCTGTGCGGAACACATGCCCCGAGCAGCAAAACGGCTGCCTGTGCGGCACACATGTCCCGAGCAGCACACACAGAGGACACACACACCCGGAGCCGCAGCTGGAGCCGTGTTTTTTTTTAGAGGCGATAGGATTAATATCTCTGGCTGCTTATGTTAACTGCTAGTATTGGCCGCTGAAACCCCCAGAATTTCGGCGATTTGTTCACTACAAATCTCTATTTTGCTTTCACACAGAAGTTCCACTTTACAGATGCCCTCATTAAGGTATTTTTAAACATCTCTGCGACTGCCTGTACGGCACACATGTCAGAGGTTCTGACTACACGGTAGAGTTGCCACGTAAATTCTGAAGAACCTCTCTCGATGCTAGACCTTTTAACTGGTTCACAGAGAGAAATCAACATCTCTGAAGGAGTAGACTAAACACTGAGTCACCTGCGTCCGACGCTCATGGCCTCAAGGATTTCACATCCTAGAGCCCACAAACACCGATAAAGAAGTGCCTCAGTGTTCCCACAACAATTACCCTTCGTGCCAGTCAAGTTGACCGGTCACACACTGGTGACAACAACACATATGGCACCAAGGCCTTTCCTTAAAGGAGATAACACGTCACAGAGCAAAAGGTTAGATATCTAGAAGAATTATTCCTTAACACTTCTGACCTGAGCTCCTCCAACAATGCAACATATACAATAAAATACAAAATAAAAAGTAGTGCAAAAAGTTTATATACATGTAATATAATAGAATATGATATTTACAAGAACAGAATATTAAATAAAAAATTAAATGCGGTGTATTGCGTGGACAATAGACCCAATCACAGTGAATGTTCAAAACTAAACTTGATACATTTTTCTTTTTCATCTCACAGTGCACATATTTAAGTAATCATAACACAAAGCTAAAATGTAATCTGTTTTTCCCTTTCTCTTTTCAAGAGTGCTTCAGAGGATGGCTGAATTCACAAAACGTGGAGAAGACCGAGAGAGAGAAGTTGGCCGGTTACTACATTTCACAAAAAATACAGGACCTTGTGAAAAACGGAAAGAAACAGTTGAAGGAAATTGCTTAAAAATATGAAGTAATGGGTGTTTTGAAAATGTTTTCAAATGTGTGTTAATGTTCATTGTGTGTTATAAATAATTTTCCTGCTTCTAATCATTTGATGTATGAGTATTTATTTACAGACATTCTATACATTCTGGTACCTTTCTGGTAAGGTAGGTGCTCTGATCTGAAATGATAGATGTTCATTGAGCTACTGCAATTGGGTGAGAGTGTTTCATCATCATATATGACCAGCTTAACCATCAAGTAATCCCAGTTAAAGTTCTACTCAAGATCATACAAGTCTGACCAGCTAATAGTGACCAGCTAGACCACTGTGACCACCAGCTTTTACCAGCTAAACCAGCTATCCCGACCAGCTAATGGTGACCAGCTAGACCACTGTGACCAAACCAGCTATCCTGACCAGCTAAAGTGTCCAAAACCCCTCTCAACCAGCAAACTAATCCAGCCTAATATTGACTGGCTGGTCAGGCTGGTAAACCAGCCTGACCAGCCAGTCAATATTAGGCTGGATTAGCCAGACCAGCCTTGTTGGTCTAAGTTGTTTTTTTCAGCAGGGAAATGCTCCCAGGGGAAGCTGATCCACCCTCAGGTGCTGGGACAGCTCGCTCCCTCTCTGCAGCGGTGTGAGCCGCGGTCTGTGTGAACGCCGCTCCGCAGTTTAATGCAGGGCCGTAGCTACGTTTTTAACGGGCCTAAAATGATATTTAAAATTATTCACTTTTAATTAATGTACTGCTTGTTTAGTTGATTGAGAAGCTTTTAGACATAGTGTAGGTTTGTTTCTACAAGTACAGTTTTAGGGACACAAAAGTTAGGGGGGGCAGCTGGGAGCAGCCCATCCCGTCATGCTAATTTCTTGCTAACTTTTTAGCATTCATTGTAGAGGCTAGTCAGGAAGCCGGCTTGTTGGAGGGGCTTTTCAGGAAACGACAACTGTATTTCAACCAGTTTATATACTTACAAATCCCGTGCATGTATAAGCAGTAAGGCTGTTAACCGAAAGCTATTACAGTGTTTTAAACTTACTATTTTAAGCTAAACTACCTAGCTACAAAGCTGTCAGTGAGCTAGCTAGCAGTGTCACTTTTCATCAAAACCCCAGGAAGTGCGCCGGCCGTTGATGTAGATTTTTTAAAGAATGGCCAAACGGGGGTACTACAACTCCCGTGTCGTCTTTCGACCCAAAAATACTTTCCCAGTTTCCCCCTTTGACTTACATTGGGAAATAGATTTCTGTAAATCGGCGTATAATAAATAATATAATCATTAGGGTCTTAAAGTTGGAAAATGAGCTAAAGCCGAAGGCGGGACTTAAGAAAAACTCAAGTGCGCATGCTCGGTGGGCAAAAGGCCCCGGATGAGTCGCTTCATTTTGAGCTTCGTGCGCCACTGAGCAACTCTCATAGGAATGAATGGGACCCCGCCTCCAACACTGTATCCTCTTTACATATCCATGCTTTTCATATGACCAACTGCCTGTACTTCGCACTGTGGTAGCCAATGTTACAGAAAACAGTAATGAAGCTTCTAAAATCAATCATTAATGTGACTGTCATTGGGATTTTATGTGTAATTTCTGCCCCAGATGTGCCTTGTTTTTGAGAATCAGAATATCTTTATTGTGATCATACAGAGGATGAAGGACATTTCGTTGGCATATCTCAATGCATTAATAGAAATAGAAACAAATAAATAAAAGCAGAGGTAGTAGCAATGACAATGCAAAGAAAGCACTAAGATGAAATAATGTCAGTGAACATATTAACCAATTTTACAGACTATAACATTTCAATATAAAAAGCTAGAAAAGTTTAAACATAATTGTGGTTACAGTCATTGAGGGCTAGAGATGTGTTTCATGTATGTCAAAGTTGTCGTAATGTGTTCTGTGGTTGGACAGGGATGGGAGTAATTCATAAAATGTAATTATATGTATTTTGTTTTTTCCTTTAGGTATTGATTTCAAGATCAGAACAATAGAATTAGATGGCAAGAAGATCAAGCTACAGATATGGTAAGATATCACCATCCACTTTCACTTTACAGTTTGACTTGTATGTGATGATTAAGGGTGGATTGTAATTACACTAAGATGACAATTTATTAGGTACATCTCATGAGAAGATGAACATCTGCATTGCGGATGCTTCCAATACAACAGTAGCTTGTAATATATTCACTCTTTACAAGACTGGAATCTTGTAAAACGTTTAACCTAGTGTTGTCAACTCTTAAGTCTCTCAAGTGAACATACAGTATACACTCTATGTATTTGTGTCTTTAAAGTTGTAATAGGTAAAAGAAAATAGGTTTAAAGGTAGTAGTATTGAATCTATATCATGACTAACAGCAGCTGTGCATGAGGCATCTCACATATTCTGTCGTTATTGTCCTCAAATACAACAGCACACAACACTTTAAATAAGACAGTTATGGAGTTGATTATGTATTTTATTAAGAACTTTTCACAGAGTTAGGCTATTACCCCTTTGTTTTCTCAATGAACAGATGAAATGTAGCTAAGTTTTGCAGACTGTTGTTTTTAATATGTAGGGATACAGCAGGACCCGAGCGGTTCAGGACCATCACGACAGCCTACTACAGAGGAGCCATGGTAAGTTGCTTTGTCTTTTAACCAATCGCACCATAGTGTTTTATTTTTGGGATCAGAATAGGTGAAGTGTCAGTAATCTCAGGTGTCAGCTCTGTACCAACAACCTCTACCCGAACTACACCCAGCATTGTTGGTATTGTTGTTAATGTTGTACACACCTGGGTAATCTGAGGTGCGCTCAGTGTATTGTTTTATGCTATTTTTCTTAGCCTCTCCTTTAGTTCAAGTTTAACTGGTTGCCTGTGATTCTATATTTCACTTAAAGGTCCCATGACATGGCCATTTCTACTGATCATAATTCCATTGTTGAGGTCTACTAGAATAGATTTATATTGTTCAATGTTCCAAACTCACATTGGTTTTCTCATACAGCATCTCTGTATAGTATGTGTATTCACTCTCTGTCCTAAACGGCTTGTTGGAGCTCCTGCCCCCCCCCCTCCCTATGAGCCCACTGTGCTCTGATTGGTCAGCTCGCCCCCTCTGTTCTGATGAATCCACCACCGTTACAGCGGAACATCAGTGATTATGTGTTACAATAGCGTTAGCAACCAGAAAATGACACCAGTAATGACAAACAGATGAGAATGCTGCGTGGGGTCTGGGTGCCGTGTTGGCGGGACGTTGCAGGGCTCACTGCTGTGAGGAGGGGACAGTGTGAGCTCTATTACGGGTGTCGTTTCCTGGTTGCTGCGTGGGGTCTGCGAGACAGCAAGACTCAGGCTGAGTTTCGCTATGTCTCACTCTCTCAGGCTGAGTTCAGGCTGAGAAATCCGCGGAGCAGCGGCTGAGAAAAGATAAGGCTGAGTGAGTGTGAGTGTGTGTGTGTGTGTGAGGAGCTCCACGGATTGGTCCATTTGGACCTGGGTATTGTTACGTCACTATACTCAGGAAGAAAACAATGGAAAAAGAGAAATCTCCAACGAGGCGTTCTGGGGCAGCATAGACAGGTATTTTCTGTGTTAGAGTTTTACTCGCTACAGGGTGTACTTTGAGGGTTTGTGACTCTGCAGACCGTTTACATGCAGAAAAACCTTCATAACACACAAGGGGACGGGTAATAACCGGAAAAGCATGACATGGGACCTTTAAGTAAACTGTATTGCCTTTGGTTTTAAATAGGGTAAAATATAATTTAAAAAATAGTTTTGCAAGTTGTAAATGTGTTGTCTTTATTGAAGTATGTAGATGCTGTGGTTGTTAAGTAAATTAAGCCAAATACGTTTTGTATTGTCGGCTCTAGTTAATACTATAATTTCTTTATCGAAATTAATGCCTGATAATATATATATTTCCCATTATTGACCCCAGATATATGATGCATCCCTAGTGTTGAAGTATGTGATCCTTCACTAATGAGGGTTAAATGAACAACGGATAATCACATTAGACAATACATTCCCAAGTGGACTAATGACAATAATTGGTCAAGGATATCATTGTTTTCTGGCTTCTCAATTGTGTCTTGTCTTTTCCATATTTCACTTAAGTAAACAGTATTGCCTTTGGTTCTAAATAGGGTCAAATGTATTTTTTTAATTGTTTTGCATGTTGTAAATGTGTTGTCTTTATTGAAGTATGTACATGCTGTGGTCGTTAAGTAAATTAAACCAAATACGTTGTGTATTATCGGCTCTACTTATCGTTAATAATTTCATTATCGAAATGTACTGTCTCTTCAATAAAGCTGATATCTTTACCATTATTGACCCCATATATATCATGCCTCCCTAGTGTTGGAGTACCATGCTTTTACTTGGCCCTCGACAGTCATGTGATCCTTCACTAATGAGGGTTAAATGAACAATGGATAATCACATTAGACAATACAGTACATTCCCAAGTGGTTAATAACGAATAATTGGTTAATGATTTAATCGTTTTCTGGCTTCTCAAATGTGTCTTTTCCTTTCCTCTCCAGGGCATCATGTTAGTGTATGACATAACCAATGAGAAGTCCTTTGAACACATCAAGAACTGGATACGGAATATCGAAGAGGTAAACATGAAAGTGACGTCCGTCTGTTAGTGTGTCTTATGTTGACAATGTTTCTCTAAAAAGAGTGTATACATCTGGAAGTGTATTTAGAAGAATGGTGACCTGTTGTAAGGTATGTTGTAAGTGAATATATTGTAAGCCTCTAATTAGACTATATTTTTTATATTTCTTACGCTTTTGATGATAATTACTATTGTATATTGTTCTTTTTGATTATATTATATACAGAGTTCCCGTTAGAATATTCTTTTGCCGGTCAACATGTCCGTTAAAGTTTAAATCTTCCGGACAAAATGAGAAAAGTGCCGGTCAAAGGTCTTCTTTGTTATTTATTGAGCTTTAAAACAAATTGATATGATTCGATATTAAACAAACTAATTATAGTGGATTAACTACATTATTCAAAAGTGTACAGTAATTTACAATAACACGGGAATAATAAACGGAGAGCTCTCTCCTTCTCCTGACAGCCCGTCAGTATCATGCAGCTCGCGGATCCAGTAATGAGTGACTCTACAGTAAAACTAAACATATCTATAACTAGTTTAGGTAGTTTGAGAGGTAATTAAAATAGCTACGTGTGATTTTCTAACCTGAAGTGTGTGTTTTGCTCCGCTCACCACTGCAGGGGATCATGCAGAGCTGCGTGTCGACTCGTCAGCAGCAGCTGATCTCTCTATCCCGTCAGATTAGACTTTACTCGCGTTTATGTCCATATCGATCAGATCTAGCTAGTTCTAGCTAATGATATGACTACCTGCTTATCAAGACACCTAAACAATAAGCGTCGCTATGCAACTGGGTGAGGCCACAAAGTATAGCGCAGCATTATGCATTTGTTTACATGCCCACCGGAACCCCGAGGCATTACCAACAGATCAACGCACAATCAACCCATACAGGACACTCTTTCTCCACATTAAGTGTTAGACATTAGAATGGACTATTCTTGTCTGTCACATACTATTCTTGTCTGTCACATAAGTGGCGCAACTGATGCGGTATTGCGCTAAGGGGAAATTATTTTGACCGGAGAGATTTAGATTTGACGGTCTTCAGCATATATTACCGGTCATAGTCCGGTAATTACCGGCTAACGGGAACTCTGATTATATATATATTTGTATATAACAGTATGATATTGTATTATGTACCATGTTGTGTGAGACTCACTGTCAAGGAACTTGTTCTAATCAATGTAAAAAATAAAAATAAGAGTGTATAAATCTAATGCATTCTATAATTTATAACATTTCTCTTAGTTCACTATGCAAATTTATGTTTCCCAGCATGCTTCAGCCGATGTGGAGATGATGGTCCTTGGGAACAAATGTGACGTCAACGACAAGCGACAGGTGTCCAAAGACCGAGGGGAGAAGGTGGGGCGATAACACACGACTGTACCTAGAACTAGATTTAATAAGAATAAGAATAATTAACATTTTATGATCTATTATACTGACTGTGATTGTTCTTCTTCTCTCCTGCTGTCAGCTGGCGCTCGAGTACGGTATCAAGTTCATGGAGACGAGCGCAAAGGAGAACATCAACGTGGAGAATGTGAGTTCAAGCTTTTTCTGCGGTTATTCATTCACAGCTGGAAGTATCTTAACTAAGAGATGAGTTATGATACTTTGGTCCTCGTTGTCTGTTTGTTTGAAAAGACTCTCGTCACAGAGTTTAAGAAATGGACTGCACATAATCGTCAGGTATGAAGTGCATTAAGACTGAGTGATAAAGACAGTCCTGTATATTGGTTTTCTTTGTGATACATGGCGATACAATATATATATATTTCTGTATTTTTTATGTAGTGGGCTTTAATTTGATTTGATTTGATTTAGAATATGTAAAACAATAATACAAAAATATTTACATGAGAATGATTATACACAGGGGTGCACACAACTTTCACAGTGAGGTACTCAGATGAGTACCTGGAGTCAGTGTTTGGTACTCCAACTTCTGGCTCCCCTCAAAAGGGGGGGGGCGGGGGGGGGGGGGGTGGTAGTGGAGTACAGAGCTTCGCGAATGTCAACGGGGGGGGGGGGTGGTAGTGGAGTACAGCGCGTGTGAACGTTGTGATCAGCTATTTTAGCGCAGTGCTGCTGTACAGACCGACGTTAACAGCAGCACTGTCTGTGCACACGGAGACCGACTCTGTCGTCCGGTGATCTAACCGCCTTCTGGAAAAGCTTCACAAGTACGTCGGTACGCAAATGCGCTTTGTGACACAAGTGACGGTACGCATTTCAGATTGTTGCCGCGCATGCGTACCTGCATACCAGTTATGTGCACCCCTGTTATACAATACAAAATGAATCAGTGTCAAATTAATATATACAAAAATATGACTGATGACTAAATTATGTATAAACTAATTATCTACTTAATTACACATCCGAAAAGGGGTGGGAAGAAGTTTACACTTATTTAATCCCACCCTTTCTCCCAATAGCTTAATGTGAGATGCACTTTTATTAGAACAGATGCATCATGACAAAGTTAAGCTACTTCTCTACTCTAGTACTGGTTTAATTCAACAATATAATCATTCTATTTTCATCAATTTGCAGTTCTTGATTAATCCTATGTAGGGATACTAACTAATGTTACTTTGTTAAACAGTCCAGACCTGTTTCCAGACCTATAAGACTACTCAACATGCTCACACATTGGATTGTTGGTTTCGGGAAGCTGCAAACAAATTTAGAACCAGACAAATGCTCGTAATGTATGCAAAAGACTCGAAAACAGCCAAAAACAACAATGTTAATCTATAACGTCGACAGTGAAACTTCAACATCTTCATTTGTTAGCGATTAGCCCGGTGGACACAAAACGTAATATACTACCACTTCATTTCTTCTACCCAACACATAACAACTACATGTATAACATATCAAGAGAAGAATATACATGTTGTGTGCCTTGAGAAAAAGAAACCACTTGTGTACTGAGGAAGTGGTTCAGCTGATGAATAACAGAGGCAGCAGGAAACACTTCACTGACTCTCTGGTGTAACAGCCAGCGACTCTGTGACAGATGTTTGCATATAAAGAGCTGAAAGACAGAAAGTAGACCACAAAAGCAGAACAAGGTAGAACGTCTTAATACCCTTTCGTATAGGAAAATGTATTACTTTGTGACATTTATGTTTTTTTTTTAGGATGCCCATTAGCTGAACTATAATCAGATTATCAGCCACTTGTAACACAATGAAAAGGATCAAATTAAATTACAGGCTTAATTAGATTAGAACCACAGTGTTCAAAATAATCCACCCAGAGAACCACCGTTTAATATGCTTTGATTCAATTTCAATAATTACATTTGTTTTGATCTGCTTTTGTCCGCAGGCCTTCTTAACCCTCGCCAGAGACATCAAAGTGAAAATGGACAAGAAGCTGGTAAGACAATGGAAACTTTTTAATAAAACTATTGCAGTGTGACTTTTCTTTTGCTGTTCTGATATGTAGCGTTCCCTTGTGGCCTTTCCTATGTTTTCCTTTGTAAAAAAACAAACATACATCTGTGCTTATGCAAGTTGCCAGCTTGTGAGCCCGGAAATGTTGAGTACGGAAATGTTGAGTACGGAAATGTTGAGTACGGAAATGTTGAGTACGGAAATGTTGAGTACTCCTAAGTTTTATGATAGAAAGGTATATTACGGGTCCCCAGCACATATGCCCCTTTCACACCAACGCGGTTCCCGTTCTAGCTCCGTGCTAGAGCTTTTCTGGTTCGGAACCGGTTTTTCTTTTCAGCCCCCGTTTTGTTCACACCGCCCAGAGCCCGACTGGTGCTGCCGCTGCTGCGTCATGACGTCACCGTTTACGTCGCTGATTTTCTCCCCGTCGGTTCGATGATCGTGTTGCTTTTAATCATACGAAGCCAGATTAAATTAAATAACTACTTCTCAACCCTTGTACTTTTCTCCAGAGTGCAGTGGTTCATTGTTTATTAATGTGTTTCAGCGGCATTTACCGACCGCTGCAGTGCTGCCCGCTGTTTGGCATCACAACGCTGTTATGAAAGTTTCTCTGGTATAAAATGGGTGATGTTAGCATAGCAACCGTAGCTAAACTGACTACTTGTTGTTGCTATCCTATTGTGGCATAAGCCGTTTTCTACAGGCACATTTTACCGGCGTATTTTTCATTATGATTCTACTTGTGATAGTCGGACATATCAACATCAACAACTGCACCTCGTCCACTGCTCCTCTGTCCCAAGGCGTCCCCCAGGGTTCGGTGCTTGGCCCTCTCCTCTTCATCCTCTACATCAGGGGTACTCAAACTTTTTTATTAAAGGTCCAGTTGTGAACTTTATACAAGGTCACTGGTCAATGCCAGTAAAGTAAAGTGTCCCCCCCCCCCCCCCCCCCCCCCCCCCCACCCCCCCCCCCCCCCCCCCCCAGAGCGGAGAACCGAAACTGAAATTGAGAAGCAGTTTCTTGGTGCTCTTTGCATGGGCCCCCTTGGTTTCCCGACGTGTCGTTGCAGTAAATTAAAGGGTGTTTCATGTTGTCGTTGCTGTGGACCTTCTTAATCTACCTTCTTTGGGGGCCCCCTTCTGGTCCAAGCACTTGCCTCACTTGCCTGCCTTGCCTGCCTTGCCTGTCGGTAAACGGCGCCCCTGTATACACACACACACACACATTCAATACATACATACAGTATGGTGGCTTGAACTAGTGGGAGAAATGGCACTGTTTGTCTGTAGTCAATGCCTTGAACCTCGGCAAAAAAGGCATTAGAAGCATTAGAAAGTCAAGGTAAACTTGCGGTGAACTTGCGGTCTGCTATGCGTGTCACGCTCGCGCACACAAGTAAATATATATGCACGTTCATTCTCACAACGCGTCAGACACAAGACGCGCGTACATGATGATGTACATTAATTTATCAGAATCAGAATTTTTTTTTTTTTTTTATAATCTTTTTTTTTTTTATAATGGGACACAGGGTTCGGTCCGGATTGATTTGTAGTTCGGTCCGGATCCGGACCTTGGTCCGGAGTTTGAGAAGCCCTGCTCTACATGCTCCCCCTTGGCAAAATAATTCGTCGCCACAACCTTCAATTTCACTGCTACGCCGATGACATCCAACTTTATATCTCAACAAAAACCATCACCCCCACAACACACTCCACTCTCACCAACTGTCTCTCACAAATAAAAGCATGGATGCAAACAAACTATCTCCAACTGAACAGTGCCAAATCAGACATCATCATCATCGGCCCCCCATCCCGTACCAAAGAATTTCAACTTCACCATTGACAGCCACACTCTATCCCCCCCCCCCTCACATCCGCAACCTCGGAGTCATCTTCGACAGTCAGCTCAAATTCAATCACCACATCAATCACATCACCAGGACCGCCTTTTTCCACCTCAAAAACATTGCCCGTCTCCGCCCATCACTCTCCTCCTCTGCTGCTGAAACTCTGATTCATGCATTCATCACATCACGACTCGACTACTGCAATAGCATCCTCTACGGCAGGGGTCGGCAACAGGCGGACCGCGGTCCGGATCCGGACCCAGACGCCGACCTATACGGACCCGGACCTATAATCAATACATTAATAGGGGAATTCAATTTTGACGGGGCGATTCTATTTTAACCGCTGCCGACGGGGGGCGAAAGAGACGAGTGAGCGATACAGGGAGAGAAACACAGAAGAAGAGACGAGAGAGCGGCAGAGAGAAGCGGAGAGGAAAGTGAGTGAAGAGAATAATTAGCAGAGGTGGGGAATCGAGTCACATGACTTGACTCGAGTCAGACTCGAGTCGCATATTTTTGGACTTGAGACTTGCTTGACTAACATTGATAAAAGACTTGACTTGACTTTGACTTGGTATTCATGACTTGAGACTTGACTTAAGCTTGAGACGGATGACTTGAAAGGACTTGTCTGTTTAAAATTAAATATTTGCGTTTGTTTTTGTAGTGAGATATTACGTTTAGTTTTTTCGAAAAATGTGATTGGGTGATTATAGCGCCGTGCACGCAAACCTGGCAACCCACTAGACGGCAGGAGCGTCAGTTAACATGGCAGCGGCTAGCGTTACTCCAAAAATAGTGAAGTTTGGATTCAAGGATTATGTTGTTGATTACGCTAATAAGAAGAGAACAGCGGTATGCAGGGTCTGCAGCATAAAGATCAGTGACACGACCACCACAACATCCAACTTAATTCGTCACTACAAAAAAACCCACAGAGAAAGGTGCGTGAATGTGTTGTGTTAGCTAGAAAGCTAACGTTAAGTTTAAGCTACATCAGACTTGGTTTCAAATCGATTAAGCATTGCAAAGAGAAGACAAAACGGTAAATGAACACTAGAACCGCCAAGGGATTCATTTGTACTAACCCCGATACTGACGGCCTGTCAGGAGAGGGAGAGAGAGAGAGAGGAAAAGAGATGCCTCGTTTATTTCCCCTGTGTTATCAGAAGTTACTGTAAACTGTTGAATAATGTAGTTCATCTACTTTTAGTAGTTTGTTTGTAAATTTATTGTAAAATGAATCTGAACTTTTTTATCTGTTATGATGATAAACTGAAGCAATTTCTAAATTAACCCAATTAACTGAGTTTTAAATCGTCCTACTTTAGTTTATAAGGAAATTATGAAGAGGAACAAATTAAATGATTTGAAAATGATATCTATGTAGGTGCTGACGCTGTTGGCGGTTCTAGTGTTAACAGAAATTTAAATTAAATATGTGTAATGGCAAATGCCATATATGATTTTCTTACCTGGAATTCTGCCTTTTTGAACAGACTTTTTAATTGAGTCCTAGCTATATTGTCTGCAGTTCTAGGGTTAATATTAATCTAATATGATTGTCATCGGTCTAAATTAGATTTCAAATGATTAACTGTGTATGTAATGAAGATCATAGTGTGGGTTAAATCCATTTTCATAACCACTGTCTTTTAACTGATTTAAATGGGGAAACTGGGCTTATTCATCAGAATTTCGTATGACTTGACTTGACTTGCTTGACCTGAGCAATGACTTGACTTGACTTGCTTGACTCTCACCACGGTGACTTGGGACTTGCTTGATACTTGTAGGTCAAGACTTGAGACTTGCTCATGACTTGCACATGTAGGACTTACTCCCACCTCTGATAATTAGCGATACAGGGAGAGAAGCGGAGAGGAGAGTGAACAGGCGTGTTAGCGGCAGACAGGGAGAGACAAATAATTACACATGGCACTCTCCAAGAAGAGGAAAGTGGACAGTGAGAACAGAGCTTTTAACCCTCAGTGGACGGACTCATTCATGTTCATCCTGCCCACTGGGAGCACAGAACCAGTGTGTCTCATTTGTTCAGAGACCGTGGCGCTCATTAAAAGTGCCAAAACGCCACTATGAGACAAAACATAAAGTGTTTGACCAAACATTCCCTCTCAAGTCAGAACTGAGGTCACAAAAAATAAGCAGTCAGAGCCCAATATGATCAGTCCACCAGGATCAAAACTAAATATGGTTCCAGGGCAGGCTAACCGAGGCTAACCAATGAGCACCTGCATGTGTGTATGAGAATGGCCCTGACACCATTTCAGCCCAGATTTAAACTCCTGGCAGGACAAGCTCAAGCTCAATTTTCGCACTGAATTAAAAAAAAGCGAGTGAGGGACTGCAATATAAGAGGGAAAGAAAGAGAAACTTTAAAACTGTTCAATTGTTATGATGTGTAAAGACTGATATTGTTCTATTATCGGCTGAAACTGTTAAGTCATGATGTGAAACGGTTAACAAAGAAAAAGGGAAACTCAAGCTGCTGCTGCACTTTATTTTATTTATCTAAAATTAAGCACTTTTAAGATGCACATATTTTCAAAAGCTATTTTATTTATTTTCTCCTATTTTATTTTTAAATGCAGCCCGAGAGGAACATTACACATATCCACAGTATTTTACTGTATATCTGTATAGTTCAATGTTAATTGACAATAAATATTGTTGTTTATGAATTGTACTTTCTTTATTTGATTGGCAGTCAGTTGTTGATTACATGCAGACGTTGATAAAGCTGCAGGCTACTTCAATATATATCACACTAATTCATAAAGCAACTTAGACATGTTGATGTTCCGGACCTTTGCATGGGGAGATTTTCTCTAACTGGACCTCGTTGAATTTTAGTTGAATACCCCTGCTCTACGGCATACCATCCAACCTCCTCAATAAACTCCAACATATCCAGAACTCTGCTGCTCGCCTCCTCACCCACACCCGCTCCCGAGACCACATCACTCCCGAGACCACATCACTCCCGTCCTCCAGAACCTCCACTGGCTCCCCGTCCGTCAAAGAATCGACTTCAAAGTCCTCCTGATTACTTACAAAGCCCTCAACAATCAGGCCCCCCCCCTACCTCACAGACCTGCTGCACCACCACACCCCTTCCCGCTGCCTCCGCTCATCAGAAGCCAACCTCCTATCCATCCCCACCCGCACCAATCACCGGACCTGGGGGGACAGAGCCTTCTCCGTCGCTGCCCCCTCCCTCTGGAACTCACTCCCACAACCCATCAGAGACTGCACTGACCTAACCACCTTCAAAACACTCACAAAAACTCACCTCTTCAATCTGGCTTTTAATGTGGGATTGTTTTTGTATTATTTGACTTTTTAACTTTAACTATATATATGTATTTGTTCTTTTCTTTTCACTATATCTGTAAAGCGTCTTTGAGCACCTGTAAAAGCGCTAACAAAATAAATCTATTATTGTTATTATTATTTATGACAACCTGTGCAGCCCATGTATTGATTCCATCCGATAGCTGCTATAATACAAAACAAAACGTCTGCCTGCTCTCCACAATGATCAATAACAGCGAACGGATGGTCAAAGTAAGGTACAAATAAACAGAATCACACTAAGCCTGGTTAGTGTTGCCTGACTTTATAAAGTGTGTTTTTTTTATAAGTGTGTGGTTGCGTTCTAGTCACTTTGGTCAGCGCTACTGCTTGTTACAACTTTCATTTGCCGTACTCGCCATAAACTGTTATTGCTCAGGTTGAAAAAAAAAAAAAATGGCCTGGCTGATTTGTACAATTGTTGAGTGATTTTTAGGGGTTATTGATGATGCTGAATGCATTCTGACTTTTTCAGGATCCAAAAATGGCAGTTTTAACAATTTTTCTAACTATTCACAGCTGGCAGTTTTGTAACCAAGACATGAGATATGATACTTTGGGCCTCGTTGTCTGTGTGTTTAAAAAGACACTTGTCATAGAGTTTAAAAATACACTTGATTGCACAGAGGGATTACATGACATAATTGTCAGGTACGAATAGCATTACATGAGTAGTTAAAAAATAGCCTGGCTGATTTGTACAATTTTGGAGGGATTTTTGGGGGTTATTGAGGATGCAGAATGCATTTTGACATTTTCAGGACCCAATTTAGCAGTTTCAACCAATTTGTAACTATTTTGCATATGTTATGATACAATTGAATGCTAATTAACCCAACTAATGCTAATTGTGCAAATTGCCCAACAAATGCCAGTTAGCATCTGGCAGTTTCTATGTGCTGTGTACCTGTACTTTACATTTTTAACATAAAACTTTGGGGTACTCAACATTTCCGGGTTCATAATGGAACTCTTTGAGATGAAAACTAGGCAAAAATATAATAATCACCAGGGGCCTTATTTATAACACCTTGCGTAGGATTGACGTGGGAAGGTTGCTTACGTAGTACAAAGCAAAAAAATAGGTACAGAAATGTTCCGACATTTTCCGATTCACAAAACATTGCGTACCCGCGAGGGAAGTATGGCACTTCCTACGCCTGTTTCCCTGTTTCAATCACAATCGACTCGTAACGCCCATATTTGCCTATAAATAGTCAAAGAAACGCCCATTCATTCATTCATTTTGACTGACTGCATGAAGAAGATCGCAGGAAATGAGGACAGAACAGCTAAAAAAGACATCTCACACCGTGTCAGATTTTGGTTATTTTGGGGAGGTCGAGATAAATCATATTGTTTGGTGGATGCAGTTTGAACCAGAGTAGCAGCATGGAGGTCGGATCGTCACCAAAATAAATAAATAAGTGGTCCGAAAAAAGTTAATGACAAAAAAAAGACACATAACCTTCCTCAGGCAGTGTGTTTGTACCGGGGACAGGAGACCCCCCCCCTTGATGAGAAACTGTAAGAAATGATCGGGGAATCCCTCCGGAGTGGAGTCATGACAACTGGATCTGAATTATTTTTTTGTATTTGGTGGTTTGTGTTCCAGCTGTCGATCAGCAACTATGTATCCATAATCCACCAGTTAAAGGAAATACAACTAATGTGTTGTGTTATATTAGCTGTACAATTTACCAGATATGGTGTTCTTAGTTTCCATACCTCCTGTGTTTTACGAGCGACTTATCAAGTCTTGGCAAACGGCATAAAACACGATTAAACGTGATAGTATATAAAACCATGCTCGTATCTATACAACCTATAGAAATGCAAAACGGCGTCAGTTTAGACGTTATTCTGTCCTCCTGCTTACCGCATCATTTATGAGAAAACATTTCATAACATTAACACAACATATTCGAGGTGGTTTTAAATAACATATCCGTATTTATTTATTTCTCCAAGTTATGTTTTTGTGTGCACTGAGGAGTCTCAAACAGGCGGTTGTTTAATCATTTTAAGATTGGCTTTAATCAATGTTTGAAAATGAATTCTTCATATTTGATAAATGAGAGGTAACATTTTATTTATGGTATTATTTCCACATATTTCTCTCCATTCTTCCTTCTGCCAACGGTGTCGCAGTTTCTCGTCTCTCCCGTTTCTGTGCTTAGTGCGTACCCATGGGTTAGAGTTTGCGTGGAGGACCGCATTTTCCGGTCAAGTTAGAATTTTATAAATCGCAAACATTGCGTAGAAACTGGCGTACGCCATTTTTTGAGCATATATCCCTTTATAAATGAGGCCCAGGTGCCCAACACTGCCTTCAGAATAAAACAATGAAGAATTACTCAAATAATTGCAATAAATAATGATTCATTCAATATAAACAAAAACAGCCAGAAAATGAATGGTTTCTTACTAAATAGAATAGTTGAATGTATAGCTCCAACACCCTATTTAAAGGTCACCTATTATGCAAAGTCCCCTTGTTCATGTCTTTTATACATAACCATGTGTCCCCTCTGTGTAAAGAGATTCTGAAAGTTTCAGGAACAAAGATTCTCTCTTTTTGTCCTGATCCATTTATATAAAAACCTGTGTGAAAATGAGCTGATCAGATTTTGGCCATGTCATAACGGCTTGTGTAACCATTAGCCAATCACCAACCAATCACCAACCAAGGTAACCCCCCCCCCCCACCGCACACCGCAGCGGCGCCGCCTCTTAGCTCCGGAATCCGGTTCACTTCCAGCTCCAAAGAATTGTCGGTCTAGAAGCAAGAGCTTCGGAGCTAAGAGGCGGCGTCGCTTACGTCTCTCTTACGTCGAGGCGTGCAGGAAACTAAACCCACCTCCCCTGAACATGGGTCGACTGAAGAGTCTCGTCATGCCTGCCTACAAGCAGTAGCGCTGAGCAAAGTGACTAGAAGGCAACCACACACTTATAAAAAAAAACACACTTTATAAAGTCAGGCAACACTAACCAGGCTTCGTGTGATTCTGTTTATTTGTACCTTACTTTGACCATCCGTTCGCTGTTATTGATCATTGTGGAGAGCAGGCAGACGTTTTGTTTGTTATTATAGCAGCTATCGGATGGAATCAATACATGGGCTGCACAGGTTGTCATGTCCGACTATCACAAGTAGAATCATAATGAAAAATACGCCGGTAAAATGTGCCTGTAGAAAACGGCTTAGCAAGTAGTCAGTTTAGCTTCGGTTGCTATGCTAACATCACCCATGTTATACCAGAGAAACTTTCATAACAGCGTTGTGATGCCAAACAGCGTCAATTCAGACTGACACACATTCACTTAAGGGGAACTGGGGATATGTATCAGCTGCTTGTGTGACAGTCAGACAGTGAATACTTTAGAGCCGTGTGAGCTAACCCGGAGCTAACGGGAGAATAAACTCCCGTGGAAGAGCAGCCAGCACTGCAGCGGTCGGTAAATGCCGCTGAAAGACATTAATAAACAATGAACCACGGCACTCTGGGGAAAAGTATAAGGTTGGAGAAGTCGTTATTTAATTTAATCTGGCTTCGTATGATTAAAAGCAACACGATCATCGACCCGACGCAGTCCCCCGTTGTTGTTGTTGTTGTTGTTGTTGTGAGCTCCGTTGGGGAGAAAATCAGCGATGTAAACGGTGACGTCATGACGCAGCAGCGGCAGCTCTGGGCGGTGTGAACAGAGCGGGAGCAGAAAAGGGAAACCGGAGCTGAACCAGAAAAGCTCTAGCTAGGAGCTAGAAAGGGAAAAGCGCTGGTGTGAAAGCCGCACTAGAGCACCATTGTGTTCTTTTTAACCAAATATCTCTCAGAGGGGCGTGGGGAGTGGCTCCTTATTTTCATCTAAAGTAACACAGAGAATCAGCACTTTTGAAACAGGGCTGAGACAGAGGGGATTATGGGATGCTGCAATGATCTGTTTGGTGTTTCAGCCAAACACTTCAGAGACAGGTTTTGTATATATCTGAGACCTGTGATATATTGATGTAAAACAGTCTAATAGCGGTCCTTTAACTGTGCTCTCTCCTCTGTCTGGCTCTCAGGAGGGAAACAACCCGCAGGGCAGCAGTCAGGGAGTGAAGATCACAGAACAGCCGAAGAAGAACAGCTTCTTCCGCTGCTAGCTGCTGTGAGGAGACGAGAGTCGACATCCACCATCGCCTTAACGGAGTCCCACTGGACACAACTGGACAGAGCACACTCACCTCTTACCTTCCTTCACTTCGTCTTCCTCTCTTCTCTCCATATTAGGAAAAACAAAAGTGTATCGCTCCCTTGACAACTGTGAATCTAACTCCTGTGGCCTCCATTAGTAAATCTGTGTCTCTTTTTGTACGGTTGCTAATTAGATTCATACGTCTTGAGATTTTATTGCCTTTTTTAAAGACTTCTTGTGAGACGATCAAACCACTTTACTGCTCATGATAATGTCTCCTCCTCTCTCGTTGAAGTCTTATTTATTCGATCCTTATCACTTAAAGTAGCCCAGATTATACCTCCAGAAAAGACTTACTATTCCAAATGGGCTTCCTTATTCTGAATATAATCATCTGTCAAATATATATAGTCAGTGTTTCCCCTATATACAAATAGTGGCGGCGCAGCGCCGCTGCTGAAATATGTGCGCCGCTGCTAGGGGGCGCCAGCCAGGTACCCAAAAAAAAAAAGATTATTTTTTACTTTTTTATTTTTTATTAAAATAATAATAAGTGGCGACCCTTTTTCATTTTTGATTGTTTGTTAAGTGGATTTGTAGTATTTACTGTTACTGTATGTTTAATAAAGGTGTATTTTTGCTAAATCTTGAGACATTGCCACTTTATGGCCGATTTTTGGCGACATAGGCGGTCGCCTAGGGCGCCAGATCTGGGGGGCGCTGCGCTGGTAGCTCTGGGAGGGGAAAAAACATTTTTGACCGTTGGCGCTCATCCTAATTTTCGGCTTTGATGTAACAACATTCATAATTAAGTAATTGTAACACCCTTTTCACCCCGGTTACACTTTTCATTTGCCCTGTACAAAAGTGGGGGATGTTGGCTTATCAGGCGCCCGCAGTTCACAGCCAAAGTGCGAGCTTGGGAGCGAGCGAGGGAGAAAGAGAGAGGGCGCACCGGTTCCGGCGCTGTTGTTATTAGAATCTGGTGCTAGCTGCGCTAACGGATATAAGAAGTAGATGTTTCTAAAACCAGGGTGGAGAGCTCTCCTGTCAGACTGAGAGGCTCAGTGAGGTAAAGGACTCTGAGTGTTTAGATTGTTAATTTTAGTCTAAGTTGTCTCAGTGGGTCTCAAACGTTTTTGACCACAAATTATGTAAACACATATTTCCAAGGCACTCCCTTATAATTATTAGGATAAATAAAAACAGGTTTGAAATCATGTTCATATACTTATTTGATTATTAAAATGTAAACCGATCTTTTTCATATGGGTGTTTAGAGTTGTACCCCCTAGATCTAGTCTCTAGTAATTGTGTGCTCAAAGTGCACCAGATCGAAGCATTTTACTTTAAAATGTTCAAATCTTCCCAGGGGGAGCATACCCCCGGACCCCCCTAGAGGATGTGAAGTCCACCCCCCAATTCAAACATGTTCATACAATACTGAATACATTTGAAGCCATTATGACGTATATAACCTATGTCAATAAGTTTCAGTTTTTGTAGTGTATTTGTCTTTTGTAGAGATTTTTCATTTATTCTTTATATATAAAATCTCGCCTAGGGCAGCAAATTGGCTAGAACCGGCCCTGGTACTAGGCCTCAAGAGCCTTTCTTGTGCTGGCAGACACATAGGTCCTTTCTCATTTCATCAATTCCCCCTCCTCGACTCCTCGGTCCTCCGGTAGTGACCCGGAAATTAATTTTAGCGTGCCATGTTGAAGGACATCTCATTTCTCTAAATGCACATCGAGGACCGAGGATCGAGCGTCGAGGAGGCTCTCTGGAGGAGCTATAACCGAGGATACACTGATGGGTCCTCCACGGCTCCTTTGTGGATGCATTTCCGGGAACAGTGATGTTTCAAAGAGTCGAGACCACGGCCGGACTTATCTCAGCCAATGACAGCTCTGCATGCATCCCCTGGATATTATTTTATTAACTGCTTTCATCGCGACGCGATGTTTACAGTGAGAACAGCTGTGAGGTCCGTGCAGAAAGTGCTTTTCGGGGGTTCCCATTTCCTGCAGAGCAGTGTGATAATATATATCACTCAGTATAACAGGCCTACATTACTTTCTTTATTTGCTTTAGTTTAGTAGATATCTACAAACAAAGAGTCGATATTTTTCTAAAACCATTTAGTGCTTCACATAATAACATACACAACGGCTGTAGCCTGATTATATGCTTTAGGAGCTGTAGGTGCGTGTGTGTGGTGTAGGTGTGTGGTACAGTGTGTGGTAGATGCAGCGGACAGACAGGTCTCAGTTGGTTTGGTGTCCTCGCTTACTTTTAATACTTGTAAGTAAAACTTTTGGCCCGTAATTTACTTTCCTCATTCTAGCGACCAGAGAGGGGAGAGGGGGGGTGGGGATATATCCAGTCTCTGATAGTGTTACGTTATTATGAGAGTGCTGTTTGATTCTGAAATTGTATATTTATATAAATATATACGTGTGTGTGTGTGTGTGTGTGTGTGTGTGTGTGTGTGTGTGTGTGTGTGTGTGTGTGTGTGTGTGTGTGTGTGTGTGTGTGTGTGTGTGTGTGTGTGTGTGTGTCAGTGGCGAGCCGTGAGCTTTATACCTAGGCCCTCTGACCCCCACCAATTCCCTCGAAAAAAAGAAAAAGAGTTATTACGTCACAGCGTATACTTCAGCGGAATATCAAAACAACGGCCCAGGGTGCAAAACGCATCAATGACAGCGACCCTCTACCACACAAAACAACACCTGTGAACCCAATTTGTGTTCTTTGACATTGAAAATGATATTGCATTGTGTTTGTTACTTTCGTTGCAGTTGTATGTCTTAAGTGTAATTTGGCATGCTTTTATTTTGAAGGCGAGTTCACGCTGTTGACAGGAAGTTGATGTTGCTATGGAACAAGAAAAGTTTCACAGCGGGCGGAACTTGTCATAAAGTCCGCGATAATAAAACCCACCCATTTAGAGGGAAGATATGATTGGTCAATTGTACTGTCATTTGACATTACTCTCTCGTTCAGTTACTGTAGCGGGCCCTCTGTGAATCGCAGAGAGGGCCAGACGAGCTTCTTTCATGTAACCCTTCACATTCAACAGAGACAGAACAGGCAGATTCGAAGGATTTATTTCTTTGGAAATGTTATTTTAAATACAATTAAATCAAGTTTTTTTTCGGTAAAACTAATGAAAAATATAACAAAAATCATATTAAAAAAATATATATTTAAAAAAAATATATTTTTTTTAAATGTTTTTAAATATTATTTTTTAGAATATCTTAGGCCCTCACAGAGGCTCGCCACTGGTGTGTGTGTGTGTGTGTGTGTGTGTGTGTGTAGCCTGTAGCCTGTTATTGTCTCATTATACCGCACTGTCAATGAATTAAAAGTAAATATATAAGTCGTCATGAACACATCTGTCCATCAGACAGAGGGCTGCTGTGCCTCCTGTCATCATTGTGGAGGAAACTTCTGTGTAGTAATGCATGGAGTCACCGACTCAGGAAGGAGACACGGTGAGAGTTTTGATGTCAAACACTGATGGGTTTATTCAGAGTATTCGGCCAACATAGAGTTGCTACGTCAATTCTGAAGAGCCTCTCTCTATGCTAGACCTTTTAACTGGTTCACAGAGAGAAATCAACATCTCTGAAGGAGTAGACTAAACACTGAATTATTTGTTTCTTCAGCAAGGCTTCAAAAATCTTGTTAAATAATTCTTTTCCAGCATCCGTTTGTAACTTTTTAGGAATCTGACTATCTTTTAGAATTGCATCAAATGCTATAGCCACTTCTAAGATACGTTTTTTTAAATGTTTTTCTCTCATCCTGCTATATTCCTTCCAGGGGAGGATCCCTGGGGATTGATCAGAGCAAAGAAAGGCTGTAAACACTGACACACTGACACACAAAACACTGAAACACTGACACACAAAACACTGAAACACTGAAACACTGAAAACACAGAAACACTGAAACACTGACACACAAAGCACTGACACACAAAAACACAGAAACACAAAACACTGAAACACTGAAATACAAAACACTGAAATACTGAAAACACTGAAACACTGAAACACAGAAACACTGAAACACTGACACACTGACACACAAAACACTGAAACACTGAAACACTGAAATACTGAAACACTGAAAACACTGAAACACTGAAACACTGAAACACTGAAATACTGAAACACTGAAAACACTGACACACAAAAACACAGAAGCACAAAACACTGAAACACTGACACACAAAACACTGAAGCACTGAAACACTGAAACACTGAAACACAAAAACACTGAAACACTGAAACACTGACACACAAAAACACAAAACACTGAAACACTGAAACACTGACACCCAAAACACTGAAACACTGAAACACTGAAAACACTAAAACACTGAAACACTGAAACACTGACACACAAAAACACAAAACACTGAAACACTGACACACAAAACACTGAAAACACTAAAACACTGAAACACTGAAACACAAAAACACTGAAACACTGAAACACTGAAACACTGACACAAAAAACACAAAACACTGAAACACTGACACACAAAAACACAAAACACTGAAACACTGACACACAGAAAACTATTAAACAGCCCTGCTATATACTATGACCATTCTTTACTTATTTATAATATGGTTCAAATGGAGTAATTTGAGTTGTCTGATGCACTTGATACAATTTTACTTTTTAAAATACTGATGTGTTTATTCAAAACCATTTCAACACACAGTGTCATGACTTTTTCAGGATCTTTTTGTCAAACTATACTATGACTTTCTCTCATTTTTTTTACATTTTTTATTAGAGATCCTATACTGACATTGCAGACAAAACTATATCATATATTTCTTAACTACATACTATACTTGGACTTTTTTCAAGATACTTTTAACATACTATACTAGTACTTTTAAATTAAATGTTTGGACATTCTACACTGTGACTCTTTTTTAAAATGATATGTAGGAAATACTATACTATGATTTGAAGACAACAGTTTTTTTAAATGTAAAAAACACTTTTTTTATTTGCAGAATTTCATATTTACAATTTATTGTTTTCACCCCATAGGAATCAATAATACATTTATACTGATTGCAACATCCCCAGGATCTTCTCCAGCATAGAATCCCCCAGATGAAGGGAAATATTATAATGGAGTTTTTGCACTTCGGCCAAAGTATTCATGTGTATGCTGTTTTTGACACAAAGATGCATTACATCTACAAACAGAGCATACAATGCGAGCACATGATACACTTTTGGTGTTTGTTTCATTTCTTCGGTAATGTTACAGAATGTTTCGGAAAATGAAGATTCCAGTACCACTTTAAATGTTTCGTTTACAATCGTTTCCCAATGACCCGGAATAGTACTGCCAGAATGAACGATATCCAAAATGTCTTCTAGTTTACAAACTTCAGCCGTTCTGTTTACACGGGGATCACTACTCATTCTGTTTTCAATCGTCATCAACAA